CCCCCCCCCCCCCCCCGCTTGCACCCAATCTCCCAGTCACCTTCCTTCACCTGACACCCAGGAACTGTCACCCAACGGAAATACTTTTTCACCCAACTGGCAGCCACAGATCGCCAGGAACGTGACCTTCCCCGAGGGCATTCCGCCAGTGTAGATGGCAGCCGCTGCCTCGTTCGGGAAACACGTTTCGATGCCATGCCTTCGTGACAAGCCCAGGGCAAAACCAGAGGCCTCCCTCTTCCCTTCCGATTCCCAGCCCTGCCCTGAACCATTTGCGCACTGCTTCTTTGGCCAAGGCTGTTAACGTGTTATATTCCTTTTCTCTTCTAATCTAATTACCTTTTTTTGTAATGCTCCGTAATGTTAAATGGGCAATTCGGAGGAAGTCACACTTGGCGATGGGTGGAAAATTTCATTTAGGGCACGCCGATGATTCATTCTGATGAGGGCGGGGTGGGTGGGAGGCCAATCAATTAATTTGCTCGAATTCCTGGTCCCAAGGGAGCCCGGGCACCCTACGGTGAAATGCCACATGAGGTGGGACGGCTTTCCCCCTTTCCAAGGTCACCTTCAAAGAGGAACACAGGAAAGGTAACCGAGAGGAGAAGAAAGGCGTGGAAGGAGGGGCGGGAAAGACTACCATATTATTTCCAGGGTGAGCAAGTCTACAAATGATCTCCATCGCTTGGAAACTGGATCTCGCTAACCAACTGAGCCAAACTCATTAGCTGGAGATGGCCTCCAGTTCTGTCTTCCATATTGCCGTCTTCATGGTTGACCAGATATGGTCCATCAGCATCTGGGCAACTTGTGAGCACTTGAAAGGGGTGAAGACAGGGATGTTCCTGGCAGTTGTCCATCAACCTAGTGACTCTCTTCCCCCAGAACAGCCTGAGTGACCACTGGAGTGACCATGCTGGCTGGGCAATTCTGGGAGTTGAAGTCCACACGCCTTAAAGTTGCTGAGGCTGAGGAACACTGTCCTAGGGTGTTTGGGATGGAGCGAGTTTGCAGCTAATGCAACAAGAGATCCTAAATCTGCATCATCCCCAACTGGTTACAAGGGAGGGAGGAACTATTCAACCACTTCTGTTGATCTGTCCTTTGGGGAGCAAATGGCCAGCAAACTCCACCCCGGTTTTTTAAAATTAAAAACTAATGGAAGATTTGCCAGATTCGAGACAAACTTCAGAGCCCAGATAGGGCCAGGACAGGCCCACAAGGAGCGTGGCCACAGGCATTTGGTACAAGCCATGATGATGTCATGCATGGCCATTGTACAAGGTCATCACACAAATGACCCCAATTATGCAGTGCAGATGACATCATTTGCATCATTGGTGTGACGACACCACAGCAGGCATGATGAGACTTGAACACCCTTCTGTTCCCCTTGACCCTAGACTCCATGAGGGCCTGCTGGAGGTCAAAAATGCAACTGTGCACTGAAAGCCCACAATCCATGTGAAAAAAGGAGGGGTTCAACTCCCTGGTGATGGTTGCCATCTTAATTTGTTGACCCCCTTCCCTTAGGACACCTGGGTGGCCGATGGGAGTTGAAGTCCAAAGCAGCTAAGGTTGGGTTGGGTTGGGTTGGGTTGCCTTGGTGGAACGCGATCTACATCATTGTTTTTCAAACTTGGCAACTTTCCAACACCCAGAATTCTCGGCCGGCTGGGGAATTCTGGGAGTTGAAATCCACCAATCGGGAGGGAGCTCAGGATGGGGACGTTTGAGGCTTTGGGACTTTCCTTCTCTCTCCTGGTAGTACAAAAAGGCCCGTTTGGAGCACACCAGTGTGACTTTCGATCCGGCGTGTGAAATAATGCGCAGCTGTAGTGGCAGTTAGTCCGTTGCAACCAGCCATGCAGAAAAGTTTGGATCCGGCTTCGGCTTTCACAGAATCAGTGTTAATCGCTCCTGGACGCAAAAGCCAAAGAAGGGTATTGATTGCCCAGAGCCGAAAAAGAGCAGCTTTGCCCGGAAACCCATTTCTTCGTGGCTGGCCAAAGACTGAAACAGGCTGCCTGGAAAGTGGGGTTGTTTTGTTCCAGAGCTAATCACGCTAAGAAAAGGGAAGAAACCTTCGGTGGCTGAGCAGAAGACGGGATCGCGGCACAGGAGGAGGGTCTTCTTTCGCTGCAAGGGGCCACTGGGCAGCGCTCAGCTTCCTCCGCCCTTCCCGATCTTTCTTACAGACTCGGGGGCATCGGGAGATCCAGGTCGATGGGCAGCCGCCGATCTTAGGACTCTTTTCCTCGAAAGAAGTGGCTTACTTTTACATTGTGCCCACTCACAGTTTGTAACAAAATTTCCACGTGGCAAATTTTGTCAAAGTTTTGTGCGCCACGTTGCTAATTATGATTGACTGATTGATTTGATTGTTATCCTGTTCTCTTCCCTTCCCTTCCCTTCCCTTCCCTTTCCCTTCCCTTCCCTTCCCTTCCCTTCCCTTCCCTTCCCTTCCCT